CAGCCCTGCCACCACACGTAAAGTCCCTCACAGCTGCAGGCACTTTCCCACATCCATGTGGCCGTGGAAGACCTGCGTCTGGCCCATCACCAAGGGGCTCCAGTCTGGAGCAGCTTCTGCTCGCTGTGGTGACGCTCTCAGGACTCCGTGACTCCCTAGCCATGTCGGGTCAGAGGGGCTGCAAGGCTGGGGCAGGACGCGCTCTCTGCCTGGAGGTGGCGAGGAGGGTGAGGGTCCGTCTGAAGACGGCGGATTAGAGGGCTTTGAAGTGGGTTGGCCTGGGCAGGAAGCTTCAGGAACACTGGGAAGATGGGGCACTGTCTGTGCCACCGGGTCCCCCCACCCCAGAGAGGACAGACAGAGGGTCCCAGATCAGCTGGCTCTGGGCTTTGCAGGGACTGCGTGGGGCAGCGGGGGTGGAGGAGAGGCCAAGGGAGTCTCAGGTGTGCTCCCTGCGGGCCTGGCCTACCGCTGGGGGCAGGCCCTCGGAGCACTGACGTCCAGCCAAGCCACCTCTGCAGGCACGGGGAGGACTCATGAGGCTGCTCAGGGTCCCTCAGCATGTCACAATGCAGCTGCTGGGGAGGGCGCACACATGAGAACAGGGAGACTTCAAGGGCTCAACCAGCGGGCAGCTGGGTGGATGCTTTGGGAAGAACAGATCCAAGCAGGTCCTTGGGATCTCTAAAGCTCTAGTCAAAGTCTAAAAAATGGGAGGGGACTCAGAGGGGGGTCACCAACTCTGCCCACGTGGCCTCAGGACCTCAGAGCAAACAGCTGCATTTCAGCCCTGATTCTGGTCCTAGGCCATCGTGCGATTGCAAAGGCGATTGAGCAAGGCCCAAGGCAACTGGGTCACCCCGTCTCATGATTTAAACTATAAATAAGTCAAAAGGGCTGGGACGGAGCTCAGTGGTTCCGTGCACCGGGGTTCTATCCCAGTTCTCAAACACCCACACAAAACAAACCCAACCCACCGGGTCGGGCCAGCAGGTCCGGGTTCTCTGAGAGACTTCTGTTAACCGTGGTTCACTCCCTGCCCACCAGGGGGCACCCATAATGGGCCTGGGACCTGACAGGGTGCAGTCCTCCAGGGCCTCAGGGCCTGGGGTGGGCTGGCCCCTTGACTGGCCGCCCTTCAGGCTCACCTTCCAGCAGACGTGCAGCTTTCTGGATTCCCTGCCCCTTCCAGGGTCTAAACCCAGGGGAAGGAAGTCCAAGAGCAGAGGTGCCGCCCCCAGCCCGATTCAGGAGTTCTGTGGGGTCGGAGAATGTTCTGGAGTGGCTGGACTCAGAGCCCCACGATGAGAGTCGTTTTGACTCAGGCCTGGAAATGGGTGTGGAAGAAACGAATCTCTTGTTCTTGAGTTGGACATGAGACTATAGAACTTGTGGAGGCCGCTGCCTTCTCTAATTTTTATTTTGCATTATTTTGCCAGCATCTCTGTCACTACAGTAAACTACTGGGAGCACTTTACCTCACTGTGTCAATGACACAGGTTGAGTGGCTTTATGGAGCCCGGAAGTGGAGGCCCAGGAGAAGCAGGCTCCAGGCTCCTGGGGAGGCAGCAGGAAATGACCAAGCCCAGCCCCCCGTAAGCTCCGCCCAGGCCTGGTGAGCTGGCCTTGAGCTGGTCTTGCTCACGCGTGTTCACAGTTGCACCCCGTGAGGGCCCCGAGTTCTCATCACACTGCCTTAGAAACAGACTCAGCCATCCTCCAGGACAGGGCTGCCCTGCTGGTTCCTCTTTGGGGCTAGGCCCCATCACAGGATAGTACCTGGACATCAACTTCTTTTAAAATGCTGGTATGCAGCCTTTTGTCAAATAATGGCTCTCATGTGACCCAGGCTTCTGTCTTGGCCTTGGAGGCCGGTGACCTTGAGCCAACCTCAGCCCATGGCATGACCACAGACTAGCCGAAGCCATGGCCCAGATCGTCAACACTTGCCTTTTCCTTTCTTATGTGCCCTTAACTTTGTTTTTTTCCAGATTTATTTCCTTTTAGACACATCTTCAGTTTTTGGAAAATGTTTAATATATTGTGACACAAAATATTGTTGTACATCTTGCCTTCATTAATTACGTTGAGCAAGTACCAATGGTGTGCATGTGTTGCTGAGCCCTGGGACTTGGACCATGAAGATTTACAGTGGATAACCCAAACCCAGTCAAAGCTTGTAAGAATTTCATGGCTTGAGGGGTTCACAAAAATGTATTGCATTTTTTAAAAAATATTTTAAGGTGTAGATGGACACAATACCTTATTTCATCTATTTTTTAAGTGGTGCTGGGGTTCGAACCTCAGGTGTGCTAGTCCAGTGCTTTACCACTGCGTACACACGGCTTCCATCACTCCTTCTGGCATAGGGAGAATCCCACTTTACAGGGAAACCCCGAGCAAGATTAAAGGGTTACCTTGAAAGTCCATCAGAGTTCAGCCCTCCCTGGGCTCTGCTGGGTAGGCAGCCCTGGGTGGCCTGGGACACAGCACCCATCCTTCACCGCTAGGGCTGGTTAGTGTCCTTCTTCCAGGCTCTCACCAGGGTGCTTGGCACAGCCACACACACATCTGAACTAAAGGTTACTAAGGGTGAAGCCAGCAGACAGGTCCGGTGCCCCAGACAGGGGAGCCGGAGCCCACAGAGGGTGATCAGTGTCCAGTGGACAGGAGCAGGGTGCAGAGCCCCTGTGTGGCCAGCCACCAGCTCCCCACAGATGTGGCTGCAGGTGGCCAGTGGCACATGCTTGGGGTCAGTGGCTCCAAGGTGGCCTGGCTTCCACCACAAGAGTGACACGTTTCCCGACCGTGTCAGTAGCTGCAACACAGGATGAGGAGCTGGGGGTCTCACCAGACCTCTGATGTTCTGCAACCTTCAGGGAGACCAGTTACAGCAACTCTGTCTCGGGAACACCTGGCAAGGCAGGCTGGAGACACTGGCCTGCTCTGTGACTGGGGACATGGGTCTGTGTCTGCTGTTGGAGACTGGGCCTCTCTGCATATCTCCTCCTGGTTTTCCAATGTCCACCCTGGGTCACTGAGTGAAGTGTGTGGGAGGGAGCACTGTCCAGCACCACCCCAGGCTCAGGGAGAGTGGGGGGTGGCCTCCAGCAGCAGGACTGACCCTCTCGGCTTCATCCTCTAAGCCTCTGTCCACCCAGGTGGCTCACTCCAGCTCACGACAGGCCGCCCAGAGCATCGGCGTGTCTGTGGGCCCCTCGAGCCTCCCTTGGGTGAGGATTAAACAAGTCGGGGCTGCCAGGTTGGGCTCTTTGCAGTGACCCAAGCTCCATGTGGAGGAGCCACGGTCAGTCAGGGACCTTACAAATAAGGGTGCGTGGGGGGCCTGCGAGGGGTGGCTGAAAGGGGAGAGCAAAGGTGCTGGGAGGGAAGGAAGAAATGTCTAGAAATTCTGAGGATGAGGTTTGGCCGGATTTGGCCTAAGGGGGCATCTGATCACTCAGGACCTGGTGCTTCCTGGGCAGGAGTCCAGACGGTGAGCTGTGGACAGGAGAGCCCTCCGGGGGCTTGGGCTATAGCACAGTCCTCTTGTCTAGTAGCCCAGGTGGCAGGAAAAATGGAAGGTGTGAGACCACTGAGGACAGCGGCAGGAAGTGAGCAGAGGTGCCTGCCGGGAGCAGGGAGCGCGAGGCGCCCCCACGGGCCGGAGGAGAGCGGAACCACGGCTCACTGCACATGGCACAGCCAGGCTGAGCTGGAGCCGGCAGGAAGGGCACTGCGTCCTGGACACGAGGGACACGGGGAAGTCTGCTGGGGGAGATGCCAGGCTCAGCTTGGGGCAGAGTGACACTCCAGGGGCCAGGAGCGTCCTGCGTGGCGGTGCAGGGTATATTTATCTGCCTGTGCCCTCTTGTCCAGTGCTGGCTGGAGAAGGAAGGTCCACCCCAGCATCTGCCCTTGTCTCATCTGCAGACAGAGGCCACTGTCTGTCACGGGGCTCAGGGAGCACTGGGGAGGGACCATGGATGCAGGGAGCCCGTGGCTGGAACGCATCAGGGCTCTGGGATGGCCTTCTCTCCTGGCCACGGTGGGGCAGCTGCCGGAGGGCACGCTCCACGCTGGGAGGCCGAGTTCCACTGGAGGCGCTCCTGCCAACAGTGTGTGATGGCGTGGTGAGCCGCCTGCCCAGAGGGCACCTGGAGCCGGGCACAAACTCCAGGGGGCAGGAAGAGGGCCTGGGCAGAGGTGAAAGGACACAGAGCCCCTGGGACCAAGAAGGACAGTGTAGAGAGAGTGTGGACAGCATTGCCCGCAACAAGGAGGAGACACGTAAGGGACAGTGCACCCAGGAAGTAGTGACAGGCACCTGTGTGCCCAGCTCAGGCGTGGCAAGGTCCTCTGTCCCTGCCCAGTGGGAGGCATTCTGGATGATTCTGCTGGTCTGCAGCACGCCCAGTCACTTCCCTGATGGTCACAACACGCGACTAAACAGTCAGGGTCCTGCAGGTGAACTGGGCTGGCACGACGCAATGACAGAGAAATACCTCTTTCTTTGGGTTCAGTGATGGCCTCTCTGACCCAGCTCCCACCAAGGAGGCAAGACAGGCAAGACAGAGGGAGCCTGCCTCAAACCCGGGTTTTATTAATGGGGGGGGGCTAACCCATGGAGCATTCTATCCACAAAAGGGCAAAGGATAGGCCGACAACCCACGGGGGTGTGATTCAACCCCATCAGGGGGCACCCACTCCCAGAGCTGCACTTTCTATCCAGGCGGAGGTCAGAACCCCTGGCACTGCAGGTGCCATGCAGTCCAGCACCTCTTTACTCGGGACGTCGAGGGGTGTGCACGGCCCTGTTCAGGGCGGCCCCGGTTCCTGATGGTGTGAAGCCTCTGGGAGATAAGCATCGGACAGGAAGCAAGTCCCGAATCTGCCAGGTGAGTGTGGAGTCCCCTGTGGGCTCAGGAGGCTGCCTCCCAGCGTTCAGCCGGCTCTTCGCACCCCTTTGGAAYTCGGGTGGTGGAAGTCCCTCACCGTGGCCCACTGCTGTCACATGGCTGTCCCCGTCTCTTCCTCCACTGCTTGGCTGGTCTGTGTGGCCGTGAGGGTCTTGACCGGGCTCCTGGATTCCAGGTACTCCACAGTCCCGTAGGAGACCATGGCCACCRCCAGGACGCCCAGCAGGATGTAGAGCTTGACGCTGACACAGAGGAAGGAGCTGTAGCCGAAGGCGGCGACGAAGCCCAGGGCCTCCCACATGCGATAACTGGCGAAAGCCGCTTCCTTGTTCCTCTCGAACAGGGTGCCAAAGAGAGCTGCAAGGGAGGCGGCGTGAGAACCTGCGCGGACCCAGCGCCTGGAGGACGTTGGGGACAGAGCGCTCTGCCGCTGCCCAGTCCCCTCAGCAGAACTGGACTTTCCRACCAGCCCTCCCTGTGGACCAGGAACCCCAGCCGACAGAGGGGCTGCACAGCCAGGCCTGGCCAGGGACAGCACCGTCCCCAGCCAGGAGCCGGCGAGGCCGGGCCCAGCCTGGCTGCTTCACTYGGGGACCTTCTGGGAAGCTGCTGAGGAGCTGGCCAAGCCCAGGACCGAGACGCTGAGTTTTCAGAGGGCAGCAGTAAGGCTACCCCTACATCTGGGATTTTCATTCCAATCCTTGGAGGATTTTCCCCTTTAAGTCACTCTTTTTCTTAAGTGTTTTTTTTTATTTATTTATTTTATGAAAGTTTTATTTTATTTTTTTGGAGGGAGGTAACCAGGGATTGAACTCTGGGACACTCAACCCCTGAGCCACTTCCCAGCCCTATTTTGATTCTATTTAGACACAGGGTCTCACTGAGTTGCTAAACACCTCGCTTCTGCTGAGGCTGCCTTTGAACTTGCRATCCTCCTGCCTCGGCCTCTCAAGCCACAGGGATTACAGAGGTGCGCCACCACGCCTGGCATGTTTTTATTCTTAATTGTCACCTAGGAGTAGACATATCTGGGGGTTATCCTGAGAACTTAGAGCACAAGAATTCAACCAGCAGACACAGGGTGGAAGGCCCCTTTGCCTAGTGAAGGCGCTCCCGTGGACAGGACRGTCCTCACAGGGAGGGTGCCGATTAGAAAGGCTGCAGAGGACTGGGACGGAGTACCGCGGCCTCCCTGGACTGGGATAAAGTGTCCTCACAGGACTGGTGTTGATTAAAGGTCCCACGGGATTGGTGTAGATCAACACGGCCTTCCTAGGTGGATTCAGACCAAGTTGTCTTCRCAGGGCTGGGACCACATGACCTCTCCCAGGATCCTTATTTTGAAGTCCTAACCCAAGTAGCTCAGAATGGGCCCCTGTTTGGAGACAGGGTCTGGGCAGGGATCACTAAGTTCAGTGAGACCATCTAGGTGGCCCTCATCAGATGTGGGCAGTGTCCTTACAGCAGAGGAACTCAGGCCACAGACTCCCAGAAGTGTCACTCTGAGGACACGGGGAGGGAGGCCTCAGCGGGCAGCAGCCCTGACCACACTGGCCATGAACTCAGGCCCCCACAAATGTGAGTGCTGCAAGTCCCCTGGCTGCACGGTGGCCTGGCAGCTGCTGCAAACTCATGCAGTCTGATAAAAGTTGTAGATGAAAGTCGGTCACTCAGCTTCCTGTCCCTCTGGTGTGATGTTGGACACACCTACATGAGGTCTGCTAGAATCCATCTCTGGGACAGGACAGAGGAGCAGGTGCCTCTGGGAGGCCAGCTTATAAGATGACATGAGGACCTGCCCTAGTGTCTCCAGGTCACTGTCCAGCTCTGCCCAGCCTGCTGCTTCTCCCACCCTCTTCACAAAGACCACCCTGAGCCCCTGAGCTGCCACTGCAGCCTTCTCAGTATGCACGAGGCCATCCTGACAGACTAGACACCTCCCTCCTCCTCCTGCCTGGACACATTCTAGTCTCTGCCAGCCCTCCCCTTCCCCCCTGCTCCTCCCCATTTCCTGATATTCCCAAGCAGAGGGGAGTCCCCACCAGCATGGAGAAGTTGGCTCTTCCCAAGCCCTGTGACAGGGTGAGGCTAAGATGCTGAGGCTGACTTGAGCTTGTGATCCTCCTGCCTCAGCCTCCTGAGATGCTGGGAATATGGCTATGCACACCTGGATGTGGGGCTGTGCCTTCTAGTGTAGTGCAAGGTCCGGGAGCTCAGGGGAGCTCAGGGGAGCCAGCAGCAGAGACCCACAGTTAAAATGCCTCTCCTGGCCAAGACAGCTAACTGCAAACACACTCCAGGAGAGATCACCAAGCACATGAGAATAACTGTTCTCCCCCTAGGAGTTATGTCTTTGGGAAAGAAAACAATGTACCCTACTACAAAATGCAGAAGTCATTCCATCTGAAACTGCCCCTTATCCAAGGGTCCCTTGTTCTAGTCACTCACTGGACTTCAGCATTTGTTATGCCTGGGCTCTTAGGTAACTTTGCCCAATTTTGACAGACTTTTTTTTTTCCCTGAGAGTATGTTCTATGTCAATATAAAGAAAGGAATTCACACAATTGTTTGTGTGCCTCAGGGAGGAAAAATGCAAACATTCTCATTACAATCCTGTTACACATCTAGGGATGACTGTATGGAAGCTGTGGAGCTATTTAGCCAGTTCCTTGTTGACTTGGAGTGCAGAAGTATGTTAGAGGATGCTCCTGCCAGGTGTGGTGGCACATGCCTGTAATCCCAGTGGCTCAGGAGGCTGAAACAGGGGGATTGTAGGTTCACAGCAGCCTCGGCCACCTAGAGAGGCTGTGAGCAACCTACGGAGACCCTGTCTCAAAGTAAAAATTTAAAAATTTAGAGGTGACATGATTATGTCACTCAGTGAATCCCATTTGTCTCTATGGTGCAGGTTTCACCAAAGCCACTCCCTCCACTGAGGTCGCAGGGAGGGTCAGGAGACCAGCTCCGCAGCCCAGGGCTGGGGGTGATCTCAGCAGCTTTGCCAGCTGCTCCGTGAACAGGAAGCACATTTGGGTCATGGGAAAGGACCTGTCCTGGGGTCCAGTCCAGGATCTGAGGGGACTGTGTACTTTTATTCCAGGTGTCGGGGAAAGCCCTCCCCTACCTGGCACACTGGGGTGAGCTGGTTTGCAGATTTTCTTTATTGAATTTCTAATCCCCGAGTGTCTCCTGGGGAAGGGTGGAACAGTGCCATCTCAAGGTCTTCCCTTGACAGGGCTTTTCTGAGCCATGTCCCTCCAAGGGGCCCTGTGATCCCGGCACTGCAAGACCTGCCAGACACAGTGCTGTCTGCTTGGCTGGGGCACCCTCCTTCCTTGGGGTGGAATGCAGGCCAGAGGGATCCCTGCCCTTTTCAGGCACAGCCAGACGCACACCCCTGCTCCCACCCCCATTGCCTACAGAACATCTGCTTCCTGCTCTCCCAAGTGCCCTCCCTGCAAACCTGCTCACTCTCTCTGCAGGAAGCACAGCCATCCAACTACACAGAGGCCCACACCCCTGACCTCTGCTGCCACTTCCCCGGGAGCCTCGCCAGCTCCACTGACTGGGTCAGGGCCCCTCTGCCTGGGTCAGGGCCCCTCTGCCTGGGTCAGGGCCCCTCTGCCTGGGTCAGGGCCCCACTGCCTGGGTCAGGGCCCCACTGCCTGGGTCAGGGCTCCTCTGCCTGGGTCAGGGCCCCACTGCCTGGGTCAGGGCTCCTCTGCCTGGGTCAGGGCCCCTCTGCCTGGGTCAGGGCCCCTCTGCCTGGGTCAGGGCCCCCTCCACACCGTGGGGGTGGGGGCTGGGTTAAATGCCTGCTCTCCACGCTGCTTCCCCCGACCCAGGTCCTGCCACCGAAATGCATGAGGACTTAGGCCTGTGACTCCTGCCATCATCATGGGTGTTCAACTTCCTCTCTGTCACCAGTCCTCCAAGTGCATCAGGGGTCCCTGGGGACAGCTCAGTGGGGCTGCACCTGGACCCTGTCACTAGTCCTCCAAGTACATCAGGGGTCCCTGGGGACAGCTCAGTGGGGCTGCACCTGGACCCTGTCACCAGTCCTCCAAGTACATCAGGGGTCCCTGGGGACAGCTCAGTGGGGCTGCACCTGGACCCTGTCACTAGTCCTCCAAGTACATCAGGGGTCCCTGGGGACAGCTTGGTGGGGCTGCACCTGGACCCGCTCACCTCTCCTTGGCATTCTGGTCCTGTCCCATCTCTGTGCCGGGGGACCACCAGTGTCTGCCTCACCGTTTCCCGTGGCCTCGCGTCCCTCAGCTCAAGGTCACCCATGCTGTGGTCTGCTGCCTGTATCTGGCCCACTCCCTGAACCCCACTGGCCTCTCTCCTCCTCCCTCTCTGTGCTCAGCTGCTGGTCACCCAGGGACCACCAGGCCATGCAGGTGGCCTCACCCCGCACAGATGGACCTGAACAGACACTCAGAGAACACACTGCAGACCCAGAGCTTGGGGCGAAGCCCTCACAGCCCGGGCTCCCTTTCCCTTCCCCCAGGCAAGCACCTGGCCTCTGATGGAGCCTTGGGCTGGCTGGGGTCTGGCGGCCACACCAGCGGCTGCCCACTCCCCTGCCATCTGCCCAGTGACTGAGCCAGGGGGCCGAGAGGCTGGGCTCTGGTCACTCACCGTTGTTCTGCGTCTGCCAGACAGCGTCCCCCATGCCCCACAGGCCGGGGAGCAGGAAGAACACTGCCATCTGGGAGGAGCGTGGACGCCACAGCAGGAGGGCCACGATGCAGGAGAGGTGGGTGGCTGCACCTGGGCAGACGGAGGAGCNCCCCCATGCCCCACAGGCCGGGCAGCAGGAAGAACACTGCCATCTGGGAGGAGCGTGGACGCCACAGCAGGAGGGCCACGATGCAGGAGAGGTGGGTGGCTGCACCTGGGACAGAGGGAGGGGCAGGACAGGCCGTGCCGTGGGCACTCAGACCCCAGCAGAGGGGCCACATTTCCTCCTCTGCCCCCTGCTTGGCCGACACACAGTGTGAGGGGACCGCAGGTCTATGAGCAGCTGGGGCATCGTGCCACCTGATCAGGGTGGACCTCTGGGCTCCAAACCCGCCTCGGAGAACCTGACCCCTGGACTGCAGCCGCCTCAGCCTGGGGGTGGTGGGCCGTCTTCTCTGGACCTCGGGAGGCTCCTAAGCTGAGGGGACTTAGACTCAGTGACCGCAGAGGGGCTTCTCATGAGGGTGAGCCTAGGGCCCCTGGTCAGATGTTCTACAGACTCCTTGGCCTCCGAGCCACTGGGTGGCACCTGTGCCGTCAGTCCCCACGCCCACTCTGAGCTGTCCCCCCTCCACTGCCKAACTGGGAGGGGGCACCTACCCAGCACGTAGATGGCCCTCCTGCCCGTGTAGTGGGASAGCCTCCCAAACAAGAGAGAGCAGAGCGCGGTGGATGCCGAGAAGCAGATCATCACGTAGCCCACGAACTGGATGCCCAGGACGCAGGTGACRAAGGACTGCAGGAAGCACAGGGGCCGTCAGCAGGGCCCGCGCTCCGCCGCGGCTCCAGCCCCAACTCCCTGTGCTGCTGAGAACCACTGGCCCTGGGACGGCAGGCACACTCCCTTCTCCAGGCCCAGCACTGGGGACGACACTCGTGACTGTAGGGACATCCCCCCAGGGTCACAGCTGAAAAGAGAGCGAGTGGACAGACTTCTACGTGGAGTCCTCCCTGCATTCTGTGCCCTGTGTCACCGTCTAGGCATTGACCCACGGCACTGGGAGGGACAATCGTCCACCAACCCCATCACTTCCTACTGGCCCTAAAGACAGAAGATGATGGTTTGAAAAGGGGAGGACCAGCAGGAGAGGCCAGGAGCTGAGACGCTGCCCTGCCAGTCATAGGAAGTCCCTGGGCACCCTCAGCACACACTGCCATCCTGGGCGAGACCAAGGCAGACCCCAGGAGAAGGGCCGGGCTGACGGCAGCCCACATGGAGACTGCTCACCTGGGCTGGGGCACAGACAGCCCTGATGGCTTTGGGGTGTCCAAAGGCCAAGTGGACTTTGGGTCGTCCTGTTTGCCTCTTTGGAACCTTCGAGACCCTCCCTCCACACTGGAGACTGCCCTCCGTAGAGCACTGACCCACGCAATTCACCACACCAGACAGTTCATGGGGCACACTCGTCCCTCAAGGAAGCTGGTCCTTGACCTGAAATTCAGTCAATGGGCAGCTGCCCCACATGGTGCTGGTAGGCAGCTCGGCCAGGGAGCCAGGGTGGTGGGAATGAGGCAGGGGGACCACGCCTCGGAGGGCAGGCCTAGGTGACCCAGACTGGCCAGTCCAGCCTTGACCTGTGGCCCTCTCAAGGTTCCATAATGGTCAGAGTGTGGTGGGGACAGGGCTGTCAACTCCCACCCGGGACCTGAGAGGGACTGTGGGTCTGAAGGTACTGGGGCTGGTGTCCTGAGTCACACACTCATCCCTGCCAGGGCCTCTGTGGGCTGTTCCCACCCTGGGCCTGGGCAGGTGGCCCTGGGACCCTGTGTCCCTTCAGGTGCAGACGGGGAGGGGCACCAGTCGGGCGGTGACTGCAGGACGGCTGCGGGGCCTACCCTGGTGTACTCCCCAGAGAGGAACCCCTGCTGCAGTCCACTGTACATGGGCAGCAGGGTCAGGAGGCACAGGCGCTTGTCCCTGAAGAGTTTGAAGGTTGACAATAAGGTGGACCCAAGGCGTGGCGGCTTCGTCTCGGCCTCGTTCTGGGATCCACTGTCCTCTGTGGCTTCCAGAAACACGGCTGTCAGCAGGATGGCCAGGACGCCAATCCCTGAAAGGGGCAGAGGGGCAGGGAGCTTCAGTGTGGACAGGACTCACCCAGCCGCTTCCTGCCTCCCCACAGGTTCTCCCAGTCCAGATGCAGGTGCCGTCAGACACACCAGACCTCAGCCAAGCCGGGACCCCACATGCCCAGCCACACGGACACACGTGTGGCCCCTGGTCAACGTGGGGCCTCCAGGCTTCCACGGGGAACCTGCCATGGACCCGCACTGTCCTCATGGGCACAGGAACACAACAGCTGGAGAGACCCCAGACGCACTCAGGGGCCACGGCCACCGTCTGCCTGAATCCCTGCAGCCATGTCCACCGACAGCAGACTTTTTAGGAAAACAAGTCCCATCAGGGTACCATGTGCTACACTCCGGTTTATTTTGAATCTTTTGCCTAAAATACTTTGGTGGGAACTGGTTAAATGGAGTGGATGCCATCACAGTGGGTCACGTTCGCTGCAGGGGACAAGGACAGAACTCTATTCCCAGGTGGAAGAGGCCACCAAGATCAGTAAAGAGGAGACCAAGCCAGCGCTGAGCCAGGTGCTGACCATGCGTGCTCAGCAAGGGGGACATGAGGATTTAGTCCCTATGTGCCCTGAAGGACTGGAGAGAAGCAGACTGGGGCTGAGGGGCGGGGCTGAGGGGCGGGGCTGAGGGGCGGGGCTGAGGGGCGGGGCTTGGGGGGCGGGGGGGGGGCGGAGGGAGGGGGCCGG